CACAGCCTGTGAACTTCAGCAACTGATGACTCTTGACCTTTGACCTGTCATCTGTGCCTTCCCAACATCTGCTACTGTCCTTGAAGGGTGACCCTGCCCATAGCTTCCTGCTGCTACCCTGCATCCATACATGTGTGTGCACACACACACATACACAGCACACACATACACACCATACACACACCACACACACACATACACCACACACACAACACACACATGCATGTGGAGGCCAGAGGTCAACTTGAGGTGTCATCTTTAGGTACTGTTCCCTCCCTGCCCCAATAGGCTTTCTCACTAAACTTAGAGTGCACAGGCTAGACCAGTGAGTCCCCTTCGTCCTAGTCCCGAGATTACAGCATGTACCAACAATGCCTAGCTTTCTGCAAGGATTCTGGGTTGGCACTCAGGTTCTTATGCTCACACAGAAAGCCCCACACCCATCCTTCATTCTTGCATGTGTGTGAGGGCACAAGCACATGCACATATATGTGGAGGCCCACCCAACATTTGTGTTGGTTTCTGGGGTTTCGAACTCCGAGCTGGTTCCCCAGCTCCACCCCCATCTTCCCACCTGCAGCCTGAGGGCTCCAGAACCTGCTTCCATCTGTAGAGAACAGAGAGAGCTTAGGTGACTGGCAGCTGCTGTCCTCAGACAGCCTGCCTGCCTTTCTGCCTTCTGGCATCTCAGAACTTTGCTTCCTAAGGGACATGGCATCCTGCCCCTCCCTCCTATAGAAAGCAGTCTCCTTTACCCTGACCTCCTGCTGTCCCTTTAGCCAGGGGAGTCCCCAAGGGATCACCTCTTCATAGGACTGAGCCTTCTGCTGCACACCTGGGATTCTTGCACTCAGGAGGCTGAGGCAGGGGGATTGAGAATTCAAAACAAGAGCCTGTCTCATAAAACTAAAACCCCTGGGGTGTGGTCTGGTGTCTAACGGGCTTCTCTGGTCCTGAACACCCCGTGTCCTGTCACAGCTCATTGCTAGAGGAAGCAGCGTGCCCTCTGTAACCCCGGGGAGGAAAGTCTGTTGCGTGTGGCCAGCTTCCTGCGGTCTCAGCCCAATGCCTTCCCCTTGGTTGGCTTCACCTGGGGTTCATGTCTGCTTTCTTGCAGCCTTGCCAGCAAGGCACTAGAACACAAGACGGTGTTTGTGACCCTTCCATAATCCTTTGCTTAAAATGTCTCTGGTTTCCCCTACTCTAAATTGTAAAGAACAGCTCCCCCCGCCCCCCGGCTCCCCCTGCAGCTCTGCCCACATACCTGGCCTCAGCTGCCTCTCCCTGCTTAGCCACACTGCCTCCATTCGGCCTTTGTACTAGGCAGGTTTGTCTGGCCTCAGGGCCTTTGCACACATACGTGGCTTCCTCTGGCCTGGAATATGTAATCTCTCTCATGCTGTCATCTAGCTTTTCTTTCCTCTTTTAGGTTCCTTCCGAGTATCCCAGCCTATCCTGATCATACACTCCTGACCCTCCTCCGTCACCCTCATGCCCAACTGAACACCCCAGGGTGCAGGCTGCACAGGTTCCTACACACACCATACCTTCCACTGGAAGTATCTCCCTGTGAGCTGCAGCGTGCAGTGAGCCCACCTGCCCTACCCCCACCCTGGCTCCGTGTGTGTTCGGAGGAATTGCCTATTTATAAAATCAGGGAAGTCTGTAAATAGGCGTTGAAGTCTTTCCTTCTCAAGGGTGGGGAGGAAGTTTGAGGTTTGCAAAAACAACCCCTCTGTGGCTGACTGACTCAGGTGTGGGGGACTGGTGAGCCAGGTCTGTTGAGAGCCATGCTCAACTCACCTTCACCTGGAAGGTCAGGGGTACACTTGGAGGCTGTGTGGGACAATGACTTTCACACAAGAATGGGACAGTGGCGCGTCCTCCCCAACCCTAGAACAGCCACTAACTCAGGACCTCTATTCAGAGTTGCCTAGAACAACACCACATCCCGACTACATGGCTCCAGATTGGCCTCATTTACCGATGCCAAAGAAGAGAGGATAAGAGACTTGCTAAGAGTCAGACAGCTAGGAAACAGCTGGACTGTAATCCAGGGTGCCCGGAGGAGTGGCCCTTGCCTCCTATTCCCCACTCAAGATGTAGCCCAGGGCTGCTGAAGCCAATGCTGTGGGGGCCTGGGACAGAAGTTCTCCAGACAGAAGAATTGTCATGCCTCATCCCTGGCACTCTCTGACACGTTACCCTAGGTGGCTCCCTCTACTGTCCGCCTCTCCACTCCACTTCTATAGGGCTGATGGCCACCCTGTCCCAACAGGCGGGGAAGTGTCCTGCTCCTTTCCCTAGAGGACAGACATGATGATGTTCAGGGAATGAGAGACGGATGCAAAGCCTGTGACACCAGCCACGCCACATCGCCCGGTATCACAAGTTGGGCTGCTTCATAAAAGCAGAGGAAGGGCAAATTTCCCATCTGGAAGCTGTGTGCTGTCACCTGGTTACCCAGTGTGAGGGTGATGCTCCAGCCATGGAGTCCACAGAAGAAAGGCCTCAGGCCCCTCCTTGCTGCTCCCTTCTGGAATGAGCCAAGGAACATGGAGCAGACATGGAGAAGCCACTCTCTCCATCATCCAGCTTGTGTCTCCAGCTACCTGAGGAAAACCTCAACACAGCTGACAGAGCAGAGATGACCTACAGGGACAGTGTGGTGTTGCTCCGAAGACACCTCAACCATGAATGTCAAGGACAAGTGGATTGTGCTCACTTAGGGCTCGGGCGTGTGTGACTTTGAGCCTCCTCAGCCTAAAGAGTGCAACCCACTTTTTTAACATGGGTTGCACTCTTTTTTAGCCATGAAACACACCTAAGTGCACCTCTCACAAGAAGCTGACACCTGCCGGGTGGTGGTGGTGCACACCTCTAATCCCAGCATTTGGGTGGCAGAGGAAGAGGCAGGTAGATCTCTGTTGAGTTTGAGACCAGCCTGGTTTACAGAGCACATCCCAGGGCAGCCAAGGCTGTTACACGGAGAAATCGTGTCTCGAAAATACCCACCCCCCCCACAAAAAAAAAAGAAGCTGAAACCCATGCCTTAAGGCTGTGTCTGTCCTTCCATCTGTCTGTCTGTCTGTCTGTCTGTCTGAATACTTAATGAACTCACTACCTTTGTCTCAGTCTGGCTTGTCCTGAAATTCTTCTCTGTCATGGTCAAGGGTCTGACTTTACCCAAGTGGAGCTTCCCGACAGGAAAGGAAGCTCCCAGTACCACTGGCTATGCACAGAGGGCCAGCTGCATGTTAGAATGGCCAGGAAACATTCCTGCAGAGCTGGGATGGAACCCGGGGCCTCATGCAGAGCAGATAAGCCTCTTACCTGGCATACAAGGGTCACACTCAAGCTCCCAAGCACCCCATAAGTGCAACGAGGCTGACAGCCACAGCCAAGCTCTGCGCCTCTAGAGGAAGTGAGCCAATGGGGCACCCCACCCCCAGCTCTGCGCACCTGGCTTCCAAGCCCTGCAGATGGGCCGGGCACGTGCATTCATCTGAACTGTGGAACAAGACCAGAACATGTACCACAACCCTTGCTTGTCCCATGGTGGAGTCGGCAGCCTGTGACATAAGTGGCAATTGTCCCCAGGCACCCTGCTAATGCCACAGGCCACTGTTAGGTGTAAGTCTCACTGTATTTCTGTGGGCTAATGTTATTGCTCCCATTTCCCAGAATGGGAAACTGAGGAGTAGAGAAAGGAAGGAGAAAGGGACTCTAAGGAAGTGTGGCCACGCCCATCTCGGCAGAACTGGTGACTACCAGTCAGCTCTGTGCGGAGTTGCACACTCACCACCACCAATGCCTGTGTTCTCAAAACCTAGGAGGGCCAGGAGCCAGCAACATGGTTCAGCAGGTAAAGTACCTGCCACCAAGCCTGATGGCCAGAGTTTGATCCCCGGGACCCATTTGGTTGAAAGAGAGAATGAACTTCCTCAAGTTGTCCTTGGGCAGCCACAAGTACATGGCACAGTACACATGTGAACACACAGACACACAAATACATAAATACATAAGTATAATTAAAAAGAGAAAAATCTAGGCATGGTGTACCAGGCCAGGCTCAGCCATGGCAGGAACATGCCGCCTGCCACAAGGGGTCCTGGCCAGCCAGTCAACAATGGAGATAGCCCCTCTGTGGTGAGAGTATGTCCCACCCGGCTCCAGTTCCCCAAAGTGTGTCCTAGCTGGGTTCTGCATTCCAGGATCCACTTCCCCTGCTGGCCAACACCCTGGTACAGGCTGGTGACAAGCCTTCAGCACCTCAATTTATCCTTGCAACTGTCCAGCTTCATTCTGACCCCAAACCCACCTGGACCCCTATTTTCGTTTCAGCTGTGGCTGCTCCCTCTGGGGACACCTCTGCCTATATCAATGCTCACGGTCACTAGTACAAAAACACACACGCAAACCAAAACGCAACCTAGACCAGTGTTAGCATCATCCCCGCCATGTCACCTGTCTCCACTATAACCAAAGACTGAAGACAACTTCATCCCACTTGTCATAGGTGGCAGACCCATGCCTTCCATGCTGGGGTCCAAGAACCTTCCTGAAGAGCCCAGCAGTTTTACCAAGCCCACTCCTCACTGCAAGTACCCACAGCACCAAGTCTGAGACCCTGCTGTGCTTTCTCGCAGTTGGACGGCAAGGAATCCTGACTTTGCTTCATTGAGACAGTTCTGGCTGGTCTCAAACCCCTTGTAGCCAAGGATGACCTTGAACTCTTGACCCTGACCCTCCTATTTTAGAACCGTAAGCTTGCCCCACCACACCCAGCCAAGCTCTGACGTCAGGGTTCTTAAACTAGAAATCAGGGTTTGCATGGTGGACCGTGGCTCCCCTGCCTCCGGGTCCTGTGAAACCTAGCAACAGCTTTCCCGTCCTGACTGCAGGCACAGTGCAACCCTTACACTGGGGGTTCTCTCTGACCTGTAGGAAACTTCCACAGGTTGCTCCTCTCACAGCGGGAGCCTTCAGACCACATTTACCTTTTGGTCTTGGGAAGCCATTTTCCCTTTTGTCTCAGGATCCGACAATGACAGAACCGGTGTGTCACCCTGCAGTCACCGAGGGTGCGCTCTGCAATCTGTCCTCACAGTCTGAACAGCGCCTGAAAACAACACAAAATGTGTTGGAAGGGTACAATCTGGGAAGACAGTCAAACAAATATTAATGAACACCTGTTGGAGCGCTGGATCCACCCTGGAGCATCTGTGAGATAGATACAGTAGTCACCGTGGCCAGGGAATAGAAACAACCACTCCACCAATGGAGGGATGGCTAAAGAGCCACACAATGGAATCTAGCCTTCAAAAAGGAAACGCTAACAGCTGCTACAGTGTTAACGAGCCCTGAGAACACCACACTAAGGGAAAACAGCTAGATTTAGCACCTTGTATGCTGAGCCTGGCATGGTGGTATATCTGTAATCTGATACTCAGGAAGCTGAGGCAGGAGGATTATGAGTTCAAGGCTAGCCTGGACTGCATAATAAGGTCCTGTCTCAAAATTAAAAAGGAAACTCGGGCTGGGCTTTAATCCCAGCACTCTGGAAGCAGAGGCAGGTGGAATCTCTATGAGTCTGAGGCCAGCCTGATCTACAGAGTGAGTTCCACGACAGCCAGGGCTGTTACACAGAGAAACCCTGTTTTGAAAAACAAACCAAAAAAAGAAAAAAGAAAAAAAAAATCAGAGATGGTGCAGCAGGTAAAAGTAAAAGTGACTCTGACGGCGAGTTCATGGTGGGGAGAGAACAGACTCTCACAGGTTTCCCTCTGGCCTCCACACACGTGCTGTGGAACACACACACATGCACACACACACATATTGAAAAGAAATTCTGAGACAAGCTTGTAACATGTAGCTCTGGCTGGCCTGGAGCTTGCTATGTTATGTAGACCAGGCTGGCCTTGAACTCGCAGAGATCTACCTGCCTCTGCCTCCCTAACACAGAATTAAAGGTGTGCAACCCCCCAACAAATAATTTTCTTTTAAGATTTATTTTTAAAGTGTGTGTGTGTGTTGCAGTGTGCAGGGTTGTGCATGTGAACGCGAGTGCCCTCACAGGCCAGACAGAAGTCCCCCTGAAGTTGCAGTTTCATGTGGTTGTCAGCTGCTCAGCATAGGTGCTGGGAAACGAACTCAGGTCTTCTGCAAGAATAGCACACATGCTACCCCTAAGCCATCTTTCCAGGTCCTGGCCCACCTTTTAAAGGAAAACTCTGGGCCTTGGTAGCTCTTTTCTTTCTCTTTGGTTCTGGAATGACTATGTGTGATTTTTTAAGATTATTTTTAACATAGGTGATAGAGACATATAGTAAAACTTGCAACAATAGAGAGAGATACATGCCAGTGAGCCAGTCTCTACCCTGTGCCTCCTTCCCAGAAGTGTCTGTTCTGACCAGCAACTAAGTGACCTTCTGGGAGTTCACTTTTTCCCACGAAGGGGGTGAGCATGCTCCCCCTTCACTTTCTTCTCACACAAAATGAGTGACATGCTCCTCTCTCAGAACTGTACTTATATTCTTTTAGGGTGTAGTATGTAGATTGACAGCCCCCCTGAGCACCCAGGCCCCTTCATCTGGAACCCAGGAGTTTGTCACTTTATGTGTGCACAGCCATTAAATTCAAGATTGTGCAAGAGGAGACTGCCCAGGTGGACACGCTGTCACCAGCAGCAGAGGTGTGAGAGCCACAGAGCTGCCAGCAGAGAGAAGCCCGAAGATGTCAGGTGGCTACCACCATGGAGGAAGGCTAATGCATGCTATGTGCACCCTTAAAATCTGGCAAGGACCTTCAGGCCCACCCGGAGCCTCTGGAAGGAAGGCTTGGGGGCCTCTCCATTTGGACCATGGAAATTGCTTTTAGGCTTTTGACCCACAGAACTATGAGATAAGAGATGGGGCTTTTTAAAAACCACCAAATGTATATATATAGCCCCTGCTACAAACTGAGAACACTCACAGTCCCCAGGGACCGTACTGTGGCGGCTCACTCTAGATGGAGGTACTTCACTGTGGGAATGCAGCGAGACTCCTGGCGGTCACAAGGGATGTGTCCACCCCCTTCCTATCCCAGAACCCCAGTGGGTAACCCTACACACCTTGCATTGTGTGTGTTTGTACATATTCCCAAATGTGAGCCAAGCCAACGCTGGGCATCTTTCTCAGTCTCTCTCCAGGTGACTGTTTTGTGACAAGTCCCCTCACGGAACATGGAGCCAAGCAATTCAGTGGGACTAAGAAGAACGTGGAGCCAAACAGTTCAGTGAGACTGAGTGAAACGTGGAGCCAAGCAGTTCAGTGGGACTGAGCGGAACGTGGAGCCAAGCAGTTCAGTGGGACTGAGGGGAACGTGGAGCCAAGCAGTTCAGTGGGACTGAGCGGAACGTGGAGCCAAGCAGTTCAGTGGGACTGACTGCTAATGAGCCTGCGTCTCCCTGCCTCTACCTCCCAGAACTGGGATTCTGGACAGCTAGCATCACCAACAGCTTTTTATGTAAGAACCAGGGTCAAAGCCAAGTTCTCATGCTGGCACGCCAGGCACTTTACCAACCGAGCCATCCTCTCAGCGCCCCCTGAGTTATTTTTCTAGCTACAGAAGCAAAATATCATCAGTTTGAGAAAAATATTCAAAGATTTAACCCCTCCAAAGCTCCCTTTCCCTTGAGCCTCTATCTTCTCTTGTGCCCTCTATCCAGCCCAATGACTGCCAGGGGCCTCAGCAGCTTTGGCAACAGTGGAGTTCAGCTACTACACAGACAGGAGATAACTCAAGAGCAACCTTCACGACTGCAGGTGAAGGGCCACCAAACCTGACAACCTGAGTTTGTCCCACAGAGTGGATGGAGAAAAATCAACTCTGGCAGATTGTTCTCTGACCTCTACATGTGTGTACACTGTGCAAACACACACACACACACACACTAAATGTAGTTAAACAAAAAAAGTTGGGTGTGGTGGCACACATCTTTAATCCCAGCACTCAGGAGGCAGAGGCAGGTGGATCTCTGTGAGTTCAAGGCCAGCCTGGTCTACAAGAGCTAGTTCCAGGGCAAGCTCCAAAATCACAGAGAAACCCTGTCTCGAAAAACCAAACAAAAACAAAACAAACCAACAACCTCCCTCCATGTAGGTAAAAGGAGAAGTTAAAGAACCCTTGAGGTCCCTTTGTTTTTAAAACAGAACTAACTCACATACAGAAAAACATGGCTTCTCCAGCCAAGGACAGAGGGTTTCCTTTTTTTTTTAATTTTATTTACTTATATGTATGAGTGCTCTCTATGTATACCTGCATGACAGAAAAGGGCATCATATCCTATTAGAGATGGCTGTGAGCCACCATGTGGTTGCTGGGGACTGAACTCAGGACCTCTGGAAGAACAGCCAGTGCTCTTAACCCCTGAGCCATCTCTCCAGCCCTGACTCAGGGGTTCAAACTCTCATGTCTTCCACAAGAAACTAGTCCAAACATAAAGATGATAAAACCCAATGCCTGAGTGGCTATGGAGAAACTTCACCATGGGTGGAGAGATGTGACCTAGACAGACATCTAGCAACAGGGACCAGCACCTTCCAAATGGCTATGTCTTAGACTTGGCCACTCTGTTTCAGAAACCATCCCACAGGACTCCCTAGCAAGTCCATGGGCAGCAGTGTTCTAGCACAGCGGATGGTACACACAGGAGAAGCTGAAAGACACACGAGCGGGGAGGAAGGCCACACGAGGGTCTGGGCAGAGGTGGAGAAAGCAGGCCATTGAGCAACCAGCCTGATAAGTCTGTGCTCATTGCTTGCAAAGCTATGGAGGTGCTGTGCTGGGCCCAGGGAGCGCAGAAGGATGGAGCCTGGATACACAGACACCACAAGGACAACACGCAGTGCTGAGGCCTTCCTGGTGGGTGACAGCAGAAAGATACAAAATGAGAAGCTCGGCTCTCTCAGGTGGAGTGGCCAGGCTCCTGAGGAAGTGACACAGGGGCTTCCTGGATTTCAAGAAGACTGTGGGGAGAAGAGGAAGGTCCTTTGACAGCGAGAACTTAAGAGGACAGAGTGGCGCATGGGCAAGAGATGTGAATTAAGATAAATTACAGGAAGTGGGGATAGGGTGGGGGGATCTACCAGGGCTCCCAGCTTGTGAGAATGATGAGGAGCTGGGGGGACAGAGTTACGGCAGGGACACGATGGATGGAGGTCTGGACTTGGGCATCATAGCGGCCAGACTCACGATCTGTGTAGGCCAGAACTTGTACTTCGCCTAGATGGAGTGGGAGTTAGGATGGGGCGGCGAAGACTCCAGCCACACACTGGGGTAGCTGGGAAAAGAAGTCCGGTGACATAAGCGGTCCGTGCTTCCTCCTTGCTAAACCATGGCCAAGGGAGGGCTGTGGGCCAAAGAAAGCTCTGGAATTGGGTAAGTCTCAGCCTAGAGATTTTCAAACCCTGCCTTGACCAGCCTTTCAGCCAGGGGAGTCCTGGACGCAGAAGTTGCTGGCTGCCTTACTCAAGAAACCTCAAGCTGCTGGTGGGTGGTCAGGAAATACTGCAAACCTCGGCAAGTCTCCACCAACCTGAAGCAAAGTGACCAGAATGCGGAAACACTTTCCGAGGGGCAAGGCAAGATGTGGAGGAATACAGCTCCCAGGTGACCCTGTGCTAGACGGGGAGGGGGCTACGTCTCCCCCAGTTCTCTCAGAATGCCCTGGGAGCAGAAAAGGGCACTAAGACACAGAGAGGCACAGCCCCACAGCTAAGGTGCGTAGAGCCCTGCACTCAGCGGGCATAGGCGCTAGGTAAAGGTGTGGGACTTGGAGGGAACGCAGGCTGCTGTCAGTCTTATGGTATACCTGGCCCCAGCCCACCCACCAGGGGGTTCAAATTGTTTCCAGAAGGAGCTGCGGAATTGGGATTCCTCCTGCTAGGATGCACCAGTAGGCTGACTTCTGGGGTCTCCTTCTGGGGCACTAGCACTAGCCGCACCCCCTTCCCTCCTGCTGTCTCCCTGGAGTGGCTGTGGGGCTCTGGGATGGAAAACAGGGCTTAGGGCTTTACACCCACCTGCTGGCCGTGCTGGCTGAGCTGTGTGCCTTCTTCGCGGACTCTCTCCACCTGTAGGAAGGGGACACTGTTACCTCCTCCACCGGTCACACAGTGATGGGTGTATGTGGTTCCTGGTAACACCCACTAAGAGAGGAGGTGCTTGTCAATGCCCCATTCCCCTGGGAGGATAGCGGGGTGAGAAGTTACAGTCCACGAAGTAGCACGAGACCTCAGTCACCCCACGGCGCCCGCCAACCCTGGCCTGGTTCCCCCAACATCCCCAACCAGGCCCCAGCCATGACGGACAAAGGTCCAGCCTAGGAGCAGACGCGAATCACGAGGATGGAGGGTAGCCAGGGCTTCCTTCCTCCCTCCAGGCCCCCAGGCCGGTCGGCTGCCCCGCAGCAGCCGCGTGCAGGGCAGGACACCCCCCAGCCTGAGATATGGCTGAGGTTGGACGGAAGAGGGGCGCCCCTTTCTCCCCCAGTCCCACCCTCATTACCTGACTGCAATCTGCTCAGCTCTGTTCTCATTCCAGGCTAGAGACTTAGGCACAGCTCTGCTCGGCAGAGCCCAGAGGGCGGTCCTATGTCCTTGGGGGTGTGGTGTGGCGGGAGTTTCCACAGCTAACTCTAACTTGCTGCAAACTCGGGCCCTATGAGAGGCACCAGCGCGCTGAGAAGCCCCAACTTAAGCAGTTCTCCAATGACCAAGGCCAGGGAATGCACAGGGCTGGGACACTTCTGCAAGGCTCCTAGGTGACTGGGTGCTCCCCTGACTAAGTAGGCCTCTCCAAGGACCACCTCCTCCCGCCCTCCTCCAAAGCCTTTGTGCTTACTGAACGAGATGCGCTCCTTAGCTGGGTTCAGGGGCAATTGATTCAAGAGAAGGTTAAAGAGAAAATTTTTCTTTTTTTTTTATTTTTACATTTACATTTTTTTATTTTTACATAAAAATTTCCACCTCCTCCAATTTCCCTTCCCCCCTTCCCCCTCCCCCTCCCTCTCTAGTTCAAAGAGCAGTCAGGGTTCCCTGCCCTGTGGGAAGTCCAAGGTCCTCCCCCCTCCATCCAGGTCTAGGAAGGTGAGCATCCAAACAGACTAGGCTCCCACAAAGCCAGTCAGTATATGCAATAGGATCAAAACCCAGTGCCATTGTTCTTGGCTTCTCAGTCGGCCCTCCTTGTCCGCCATGTTCAGAGAGTCCGGTTTGACCACGTGCTCCATCAGTCCCAGTCCTGCTTTGGTGAGCTCCCATAAGATCAGCCCCACCGTCTCAGTGGGTGGGCGCACCCCTTGCGGTCCTGACTTCCTTGCTCATGCCCTCTCTCCTTCTCCTCATTTGAACCTGAGAAAAAAAATTTTTTTGTTTTTGTTTTTCGAGACAGGGTTTCTCTGTGGTTTTGGAGCCTGTCCTGGAACTCCCTTTGTAGACCAGGCTGGCCTCGAACTCACAGAGATCCGCCTGCCTCTGCCTCCCAAGTGCTGGGATTAAAGGTGTGCGCCACCACCGCCCGGCTATGAGAAAATTTTTATGTGCCCATGGAAACGGCCCCAAGAAGTCAGACCAGGAAGTAGCGGGGGAAGGAATGACAGCACCAGTGCTCTCTGGGCTGGGGGCGGGGTAAAAATGGGTGGGTTTCTGAGCATGCTCATTCAGACCCGCTGCAGTCCCAAATAGAAGACCTGCTCCAACCTTTTCAGAGCCCCAGCCTTTCAAAGCTACTGCCTGTGAGACTAAAAGCCTTCTACAGTTCCAGCGCTTCAAACAGCCTAATCAAGCGAACCATTACAACACCCATTTCACTGTAAGCGCCTACAGGCTGTGGGCTAATCTCCCTTTCCCCCTCATCTAGCGGACTACCTCAAAGCTGCGGTCTGACTTCAGCAATAGCTCCTGCTGGGAGTTACAAACAGTACTGACAGGAGGTGCCTTCAGCTCCTCCTCCTCAGGCTCCGACCCCCTGCTGTACGCGCTGGTTCCTTTTACCTCTCAACTTGACACACTCTAGAACACCTGGGAGAGAGTCTCAGCGAGGAAACTTCCAGATGCGTGTCTGTAGGGGACTCTTAACTGTTCACTGGTGTGGGAAGATCCAGCCCACTGTGGGCGGCATCATTCCCTCCGCAGGGGTCCTGCGCTGTGTGAGAGGGGAGAGAGCTAGTGGAGGGCACTGAAGCGAGCAGGATTCATGAGTTATTCTCTCCCTACTCTAGACTGTGAGCATGAGGCTATTTAAGATCCCGCCTTGATGTCCACACTATAATGGCCTGAATTGCGAGGTTTTCGTCAGGGCATTTGTGACAGACACAGAGATGAAGCTAGAACACCGTATAAATTAGTAACTGGGTGTTGACCACCTGTGGTAGCTGCTGCTATTAAACACTGTAAAAGACCCAAGTCAAGCCAGGCAGTGGTGACACACACCTTTAATCCCAGCACACAGGAAGGAGGCAGAAGCAGGTGGATCTCTGTGAGTTTCAGGACAGCCAAGGCTGTTACACAGAGAAATCCTGTCTCAGAAAACCAAAAGAAAAAAAAAAAAAAACATCCCAGTCAGTCAAAGCAATAAGACAAGAAACAAGGAAGGTCGAGGAGCAAAAAGAGAGGCGCTGTCCTCTGATGCCATTGTGATCCCTGCCTGGGACATCCCACAGACAAAGCAGACAGATGGTCCTGTTTAGATACGCAGTGACGGTCGCCATTGTGACCCCTGCCTGGGACATCCCACAGACAAAGCAGACAGATGGTCCTGTTTAGATACGCAGTGACGGTCGTAGAATGACTTCAGTCCCCGTAGAACTCTCGCTCCAGCTGGGTAGAGAGGTGAGACCACCGTTCGGTAAGATAGAACGAGTTCAAGAAGCCCATGAGCTTAGGTGGGAAATGGTCTTTATTTCCAGTCATTTGTAGTAAGCAGCAAACCAGAAATCACAACAGAGTCAGTCGGTGGTGGTGCATGCCTTTAATCCCAGCACTCAGGAGGCAGAGGCAGGAGGATCTCTGAGTTTGAGGCCAGCCTGAACTACAGAGTGGGTTCTAGGACAGCCAGGTCTACACAGAGAAACCCTGTTTCAAAAAGCCAACAACCACAATAATAAAAATCACAACAGGTAAATATCTTAATATAACTTCAAAATCATAGTAGTTAAGAGTAGCTATGAATTGGATTTTCATTCTTGTGTTTGCTTTTGTTATCTTGTGATAGGATCTATGTAGTCCCAGCTGTCCTGGAATTTACTATGTAGACCAGGCCGACTTCGAACCACCTGCCTCTGCCTCCCAAGTGCTGGGCTTTTCATGCTTATAGTTAATATTCACAAAGAACAATAATTCAACACTGCATTTCAAAATAACTTTGTGCACAGCGAGAACATTGCTCTGAGAAGAGGCCAGAGTTTGCAAAAAGCCATGGAGTTGGGTGAGGCGCTGGGTCTTGGGGGCGTGGCCAGGGAGTTAAATAAGCGAGTCAGGGGCGTGGCCAAAGAGAAAGGCTAGCGGACTGGGCATGACAGGGAAGCTAAGGAACTTTGTGATTAGACATTGCCAACCTGTTCTCAACTAAAGTTGCTGCTCCCCTTTGCCCCCCCCCATTCACACTTCTTCCTCAACTTGCCTGAGAGTCAGCCACTGTCCAGTAGCTCTCTGTAGTGGTCCTGCCCTCTCTCCTGATGCTCATAGAACATATTCAGGAAGATGTGAGCCCCGTCCCTGAAGGATGTGTCTACTTGAGCTCTCTTCCCTCTCCCCCAGCGCTAGGAGAAGGCCGCCTCCAGGGGTTCACGTGTCCCCAGTGCTCCTAGTTGCAGCAGCCGACCACTGACCACTTCCCTTTGCAGAGCACAAGCTGGGTCCAGGCTCTGAGAGAACATGAGAAAATCAAAAGGGAGTGAAATGGAGCCGGGCGGTGGTGGCGCATGCTAAACTTTAATCCCAGCACTCGCGAGGCAGAGGTAGGCGGATCTCTGAGTTCGAGGCCAGGCTGGTCTACAAGAGCTAGTTTCAGGACAGGCTCCAAAGCCACAGAGAAACCCTGTCTCCAGTGAAATGGATACGGTTTCAGCCCGGGGTGGGAGGGTTTTCCCAGACTTACATCTGTTGCCTGGGCCCACTCCGTGTGACTCACCACCAGCTGTAATAGCCCCGTGACCACGTCTGCATGGGGTCGGGGACCTGTGTGTGATGATGCAGCATGGGAAGGCTGGGAAGGGAGCTCGGTGGTAGAGCACCTGCCGAGCATGTGAAGCCCTGGGTTCGAGCTCGGGCACCACCAAAGTGTGCTCTCTGATGCCGACTTCGGCTTTGTTGCTCAGAACGGTATAGAAGAACAGAAGAGCAGCAGTTGGCATCAGGCCTGGGGCTCCATCCTGCCTGTGCTAGCCAGGCGAGCTTTCATTCATTCAACAGATAGTCTCCGAGTGTCACCTAAGTGCAGACATTAAAACAGCGGAGGCTGGTGGGTACCACCAGTCTGCACCAAGACCGCTCTGTACAGAGAGACACAAAAGAGCATGATAAAAGGAAGGATGAGGGGAGCTCATGGCCAAACATGGCAGCTGGGGGTGGGGTGGAGGTGAGGACCGTTGAGGTATAGAGGTCAAGAGAGGATTCTCAGGGAGGTGACATCTAAATGCTACTAGAAATGAGGTGGTACCCACCCTGAGATGAGTCACAACCTTTGTTCTTTGTTTGCTTGCTTTTTGAGACAGGATTTCTCAGCCCTAGCTGTACTGGAACTAGTTCTGTAGACCAGGCTGGACTCGAACTCACAGAGATCCACCTGCCTCTGTGTCTCAAGCGCTGGGATTAAAGGTGCTATCACTGCCCAGCAAGTGACACTCTTAACACCCTTTGTAGTAAGGAAACAACACTTGCAAGGGGCCTGAGGTGGGTAAAGGCTGTGTTAAGACCAAAGGGAGACCCAGGGTTACTGATGGATCAAGAAGTCATGGGCCTTTGAAGCAGGGAAGAACACAGTCTGATTGTGATGTGTGTGTCAAAACATACAGAACATGAGCCCGGTGTGGTGGGACACACTTATGATCCTAACACTGGGGACACTGATATAGGGGGTAAGTTCATGACCGGCTTAGAAGACACAGAGATTTCCAGGTCAGCAAGAACTGCCAGCTAAGACCAAAAACATTAAGAGAGTCAGGTATGGTGGTGCACATCTTTAATCCCAGCACTCGGGAGGCAGAGGCAGGCAGATCTTTGTGAGTTTGAGGCCAGCCTGGTCTACAGAGTGACACCATTTCTCAAAAGCAAAAACGTTATAGTGAGAAAGGGCTGGCATGAATGCTAACATTTCAGCCACAATAAAACGTGTAGTTGTGGAGGTGAGGTGGCTTAGTGGGTAATGTGCTTGCTGCCAAGCCTGAAAGCCTGAGTTCGAACCCTGGAATGCACACAGTGGAAGGAGAGAACCAGTTCCTACAAGTTACCCTCTAACTTATACGCACACACACACTGAGGCACACCATATACATACACACTCATCATAAACACAAATAAATAAATACAAGTATTAAATTCTAAACAAAAACCTCAACCCTGGCTCTGGTTGCTTGGTGGATG